GTTTGTCGATGGCTGCCGGGGAGGCAACAGCAGGGGCACGGAGAAGCGGAAAGAGCAGAGATGAAGCTGGGGCAAGGAACGGGCGAGGGAGGAAGGGAAACATACGGACATGTCCCCCACGCGCGCGTGAGCGCGTTTTTTTGTCCTCCCTCTGCTAAGTTGGTGCCATGGGGCCCCACGTCCATTGATTGACGGAACGCTTGCACTGCGCCACACGTATAAACTCACGGGGTCTGCATGGGCAAGCAAACGCACGACTACTAGACTGAAGCTGAGGACTCGAACGACGAACTGGACAGCGGCCAATGGTCGGCGCCAACGTCGTGGAGAAAATCTGGCTCCGCATCGAGCCGCATCGCCGAAGCATCGCCGACGCGGCGCCAATCCTCCGACCCAATCTAATCGGAACCCACCTGGGAGGCCTAGATCCTAGACCCTAGACTCCTCCTCCTTCCTCGCGGCGGTGGCGGAGAAGGCCGTGACAGGGCCGTGGGAGGTCGTTGCAAAGGCCCCTGAGATCCGACGACACGGCAAAATTGCAACACCGGGGAAAATCACTACCAAAACCCAAGATTCAGTATTCCTGCTGCACTTCGCGAGCCCGATCGATCTGTGAGGGTCCCAGGGCCCGCGATTGCGAGAGAATTGGAGGAACAAAAAACAGCATAAACACAAACTGTCGGAGCTCCGCGCGGATTTCTTGGATCCGCGCTAGACCCCCCTCCCTGGCGCTTCGCGCGCCAATGGCGGCGCTGGAAGCGCCGCTCGGGGGGCCCAGCGTCAATCCCGAGAAATCCGCGTGGAGCGCCCAAAGTTCATTCCTCGAACAACGCTTAGGGGTTCTGGCTTCGTCCCCGAACGGTGCTTGCACCTGGGGGTTCGATTTTCTCGCCGGAGGAGCTGTGGGAGGGCTGTCTGTCTGGCGGATAGGTTGTCGCCGTCGCAGCCCCGTCGCCGCCCCGTCGCGGCACGTCTTCTCACTCACTCACTCATCACCGTGCGCCAGGCGGCGCATTGGCCACGCATGGACCTTCAGCGTTCTCTGAAATTGAAGTGAAACCGCAAAACAGCGCAAGGCGGCAGACCAAACAGCGCAAGGCAAACCAAAAAAGGGTCACCATTTTACAAGCATAAGAGGAAGAGGGGTAGGAGGAGGAGGAGGAGGAGGAGGAGGAGGAGGAGGAGGAAGGAGGGGGGAGGTTTTTCGGTCCGGCGGCTATGTTGTCGCCGTCGCCGCCCCGTCGCCGCGTAGATTGCACAACGTAAACCGCACCGCAAATAGATTATCCTTTCAAAAAAAATAGACGACTCAAATCAAAGAATAGATTATCCTTTCAAAAAAAATAGACGACTCAAATCAAAGAATCAGAGGAATCGAGCATGCTTGGAACCCGCAATTCAGCAAACAAGCAAGCGTGCAAGCAAGCGCGCAAGCGCGCAAGCAAGCAAGCAAGCAAGCAAGCAAGCAAGCATGCGAGCGCGCAAGCATGCAAGCAAGCAAGCAAGGAGTCGACGCCATGGGCGTAGGCATAGCACTTAGGGGGGAGGCATAGGCATAGGCATAGGCATAGCCATTGGAATTCAGGGGGGGGGCATAGGAATAAGGGGGGGCAACGGACCAATTAGTAGGGTTTGAGTAAGAACTCCTATAGGGCAAGCCGATGTGGAGAATGAACACAAGTCCCAAGATTACCCATGCTTTCCTATATTTATTTGGTTTTCGTTTTCCCCCCCATTCCTCATGTTTTCTCACATTCTCCTAGGAGTCGGCAATTCATTGTGCCAGTGTGTTCTTCCCCTTCTGGAATTCACAAATGGTTCTGCACCATCGTTCATTCTGCATATGAACGCATACCATCCCAGCCAAGCCAATATCGAACTCCCCGTCACCCCTGTAGTAATACCATGCGCGCGCACCTGTTGACCCAAAACCATCTAGCTTCAAGCATAGGCTGCAGAAAACGAGCCAAAGTCCACTCGCGCGCGCGTGGTCGCGCGAGAATGTGGGAATACAACAAACCTTAGCCTTCGTAGGAATTTCAATAAGGAGGTCCCCGAAAAAAAATGAAAAAATACATCGGACCAAAACCCCAATAAGTGGATGGCTTGACAATTAATGGTATGGATATTGAAACCGTGTGTGGGATCGATAGTGAAATCAGTAGTGGGATCGAACGTAAGGACGATAGCAGGGTCGGTCGCGAGACCGATTGTGTGAAGTCGCTTTAGCGAGATCGATACTGCGATCGATCGTGAGATCGCTCGTGCGATCTATAATGAGATCGACTGTGAGATCGTAGTGAGTTCGATTGCGAGATCGATCGTAAAATTGATAGAGAGGTCGGTCAAGAGATCGATGGTGAAACCGATCGATGAAAACATCAACCAAACCCGGCCACCCAAACCCACCGCCACCCACCGAAATCCACCCAGAACCCGCAACCATGAATCTGGGGACCCGGAATCGGGAACTCGGGAACCCGGCCGCCCACCGAAATCAGCCGGGAACGTTCGCCAAATCTTCCAAGATCCGCCAGGACCCCTGCAGTGCAAGCACAGATCTGCAGGAACAGAAAAGAGAAGAGAAACAGAGAGAGAGAGAGATAAAACAAAACAAAAAAAAAGGTGTACAACCTGATGTTTCGATTAATACGCGCGAGTTCTTGCGATTTCTGGAGAAAACCATCGGTGCCTCTCGACCGCGCATGCCGAAATCATTCGAACGCCCTTGCGCGCGAGCTGGGGGGGGGCACGAGCCGTGTCAAATAATACCATGCGGGCCACGCTCGCGCGTCGGCCGCGCGCGCAAGCCGAACTCCTTCCAAAACATTCCTCACCGACGCGAAGACGCCGTCATCGTCCTCGGCGCGATCAGCATCCGCGCCGTCACTGGCCGCGCCGTCGTCATGGTCATCATCGCCACCACCATCGTCACTATCATTCTCGCTTCCGCTTTTGTCGACGTCGCCATGATATCGCGCCCGCCAGGGTCCCGATTCACACTGAAGCGCCAGCGCGCCAGCGCTGCCTGCGGGACGCGATGGGAATTCCCCAGCGGTCAGCGCCACCGCAGACGGGTCGGTCGCGCCAAACTGGCTGGCCGCTCTGCGCGCGAGCTTACCCGCGCGAGCGCGGCCGCAGCGATGTGCAAGCCAGCGCCACGCAGTCATCGCAATCGCCCCGGCATGGGTTACGCAAACAGCGTTGCAGGTGGGTGGGTGGACCGATTGCGCGAGCAGTGGAGCTGACCATCAAAACTTTGAAATCGATTGCACGACGCTGTTGTGGCACCACATAGATATGCACAACATCGATGGTTCAAAAAAGATTGCTTCTCGAATCGAATTAGGTTCGACCCCCCCTGGGGCTATCCGCGCCCCTTTTCGCACTGCAATGTTCAAATGATTCTGACCAACCGTCCATCCAAAAATGAACTCATACCATCCTGGCCCAACCGGTATCGACACCCCCCCCGTCATCCTCGACAGAAAAACTATGCGCGCGCAATCGTTTATAACAAATCATCAGATTCAAAGAACCCTTTAAAGAGGAAAAACGATGCGCATACGCGCGCGTCGTCGCGCTCGCATGCCGAAATATGTGGAAAACGCATTCGGTTGCGCAACGACTTCACGATCGAGCACCCAAAAATCATATAAAAACGCAAGGCTTCGCAAGGCCGCCAAACGGGCCTCTCGCGCCGCACGCCGAAATCATTCGAAGACCCTTTGCGCGCAAGCTGGAGGGGGCACGAGCCGTGTCAAATAATACCATGCGGGCCACGCTCACGCGCCGGCCGCGCGCGCAGATCGAACTCCTTCCAAAACGTTCATCACAGACGCGGGGACGCCGTCATCGTCGCCGGCGCGATCAGCATCGGCGCCGTTACTGGCCGCGCCGTCGCCGCTGTCATCATCGCCATCACCACGGCTACTATCATCATCGCGTCCACCGTTGTCGACGTTGCCATGATACCTCGCCCGCCCAAACCGCCGACTCGCCATGAAGTGCCTGCTGGGACGCGCCCGGCGGTCAGCGCCACCACGGCCGCGTCGGTCGTTCCATAAACTAGCCGGCCGCTGCGCGCGCGAGCATACGCGGGCTAGCACGGCCGTAGGGAGCACCAGCCAACGCTGAGCACTCATCGCAGTCGCCGCCGCATGGGTTTTGCAAACCAAGTTGCGGGCGGGCTGGTGGGATGATTGCGCGAATTGTGGAATTGAACTCACCGCGAACAGAAATTCACTCTCCTTACGAGGAAAAATAGATTCCACCACCCTCCAGAAGCCTGACTTATTGGTCCTCCCTAGGGATGTACAATTTACATGCGATTCTGCCCCATCGCCCATCCGAATTATGAGCTCGTACCTCCCCGCCCAACCGGTACCGGCCGCCCCCGCCATCCTCTGCAAAACCTGGTATGCACGCGCACTCGTCTAAAAATTAGCCTGGCGAAAGACCCAACCATATGCAGTTGTGAATACCGTCGTTGTGAGTATCGCATTCGGTGGAACTGTCTATGGGCCAAGAAACGCTGTCCTGGGCGCGGGGGAGACGCATGCGAACTGCGCCACTGGGACTTCGATGGAGCTCCCTATGGGGGTACGAAACGCTGTCCTGGGC